AACTGCGTTCATAAGCGATTGTGAGATGAAATGAGCTGGAAATGAATCTTGTGGAGCAGGTGGATCCGACCTGGTCCAAAGTGTTCTGGAAGTCGAGTGCTCGTGGTCCACTCCCTTAATGGGAATTTTCGCTATTTTTTTCGATTTCCCATCGGAAAAGCGAGAAAAATCGATTGGTAGTTTTTCCGACCTACATTTAAAATTACATTCAGAATATTTGCGAAATAAACGATTTTTTTAAATTCAAATTTAGTTTGAGTACGGAATACACTAGGTGGCGTTTTTTATATTGGTTGAAAATATATCAGACCATTTACTTATATTGGGTGAGGCACTTTTTGTATGGGAATATTTGTTGAAAATTCAACAATACGCCACCTATTAAAGACCATAAAGATTTTCGTTACTAGTGCTGTGTTGACACAGCTCTAGCGAACTATATAGCTGTATTGCAAACGTATTAGTACTGAGCACACGACTCCGATTCTGTGTATGCGTGTGTATTGTAAATTTTGCACAAGCAGCTACGGTTGACAACTGAGTGCAGAATTTGCAATACAAACGGACACACAAAATCAGAGTCAGTGTGTTCGTTAGTAACAAAAATCTTTATGTCTTTTAATAGATGTCGTATTCGTTGAATCTTCAACAAAAAATCTTCGATACCAGCGCCCACCGGTTTTTGCCATTTTTATTGATTTCTGAGAATCAATATGTTTTATACGAAATATGAAGAGTTTATACGGTTTGTCGTATAAATCCAAAATTTATATAAAATATCTACCTAGGGGCTTCATTCAAAATTTTCAACGACTGAATTCTATGATAATATCTAAATTAACTGAATTTTTCTGCAAACGAATGAATTTCGGTGAATTCTACGGCGATTTCATTCAAATATGTGAGATAGTGGTGATTCACCACTGGTGAATAGGTTCTGCTGGCAATTACTGCAATATTTATATTTTGTGTAACAAAATTGAAATTTTTTTTTATATTTTTTTAATAAAAACTAATTTTATTTTCAATTTTGAGCGGTTTTCTATCAAAAACAATCGGAAATATTGAAAAAATAATAAATTAAAAAATATTGCGGTTATCATAACCTCACTTTATTACATTGACACATTTCATTCTATTCACACGAATTCACCGAACTCATCAATAACCACTCGATTCAAAAGTATGAATTTACGTGAATTCCTGTGAAGTTTTTGCCGTATTAAGCTCCTATATATCTATGTTTAGTTGATTTTTGATTTTTGATTTGTGTGTCCTTTTTCCTATCAGTTTGCTATCAATAGCATGTATCAAATAATTCTTAAATTAAGTAAATACGTTTGTAACTGAATTGCTTTAATTAAAGCTACCTATTGGTCGATTGTTAAAGTCTTACCGCATACCGTTTTCTCTTCAACTTTTAATCTCTTTTTATTTGCAAGAATTAACAGTTTTGCCGCCACTTCTTTATGATATATTGTAATTACGTGACATAGATAATTGCACCGAATGAAACAATCAAATCTGTTCCACTTTACCTTAAGCAATGAAATATGTGCCTCTCTTATACATTGAATTTCTCTTCAGCGCGTTGATTAACTAAGTTTTATCTCGCTTCAATGATATTATTTTCATGTCATGCTCCATTGGTATTTGATAAACAAAGAAATTCCAATAAATTAGCACGTATCGTTCTCACAAAGAAATGTTGCCGTCCAGAAGCCAAATGCGATAACCGGACAATGGATGAGCCGAAGGTTATTTGGAATTTTCCAAATAAAAAAAGCGCTATCGGCTAGACATTCAAAATCATCGAAACCGCATCAAGTGGTCGAAAGGAGTCGAGAGGTCGAAAGCCATTGATTCACAAAATGGTGAAAATTGGCATTTTCAATGACGATTCAATGTAACAAATTATATGTAATATGTCTAGTACACTCACTCGCAACATCCGCCAGATACTTTATTTAGTTTTCATTAAAAACTAAGTCGGCTGATTCTCTCTTTCTTTTTATTGCTTGTCGATTTGATCGGGTTCTATGTAACAATAAATGAACTTTGCTTCAAATTTGTTTTCCAAGCATTTTTGACCGTTTTCATTTAAAACGACGCCTTTAATGCCTTTGCAACCTAATACCAAAAGCTTGAATTAAAAGAAAACTGGGCGCACACTTCCCAGGGGGTCAAAGTACCCGATTGGGCTCAAACTTCACATAATTTTAGTGATTAATTAGTGAAAATTTGTGACGCAATTTTTAGAATTTGTAACGCTCCAGAAAAAAAGTTACAGGCCTAAATTTGAAAAAGCCCATTTATCAAAAAGTCTATAAATGAAATTTTGAAAAATTCGAAATAAAACAAAATTTCAAAAAACTAATGATGCAGTATTTTAGTGATTAATTTGTGATTTCCAAAAATATTTTTTAAAAATTTCGATACGACATCTGGCGGACATTTTTTGAACAAATAAGTGAAAATTGCGCAAAAAAGAATTATTATCGAAATTTCGAAAAGGCTTTCCATAAAAACAACCGTAATCATAAAAATTCTTCGACACAGATTTAGTGACCAATTTGTGATTCCCAAAAATGTCACAATTTGAATTTATGGCACAGTCCTTGGGACAGAAATGTCAAATTTTCGATTTTCATACTAAAAGTCGAAGTTGAATGAAATTTTTCAAAGCGAATACTTAGATCTAAGTATGAAAATCGGAAAATTGACATTTCTGTCCCAAGGAGTGTGTCACAAATTCAAATGCTGACATTTTTGAGAGTCACAAATTGGTCACTAAAATATGACACCATTTATTTAGATCTAAGTATTCGCTTTGAAAAATTTCATTGATTTTCGACTTTTAGTACGAAAATTGACATTTCTGTCCCAATTGGGGAGTGTGTCACAAATTCAAATGATGACATTTTTGAGAGTCACAACTTGGTCACTAACAGATGACACCATTTATTTGGATATAAGTGTTCGCTTTACTAAATTTCATTCAACTTCGACTTTTATTGCGCAAATCGAAAAATTAACATTTCTCTCCCAAGGAGTGTGTCACAAATTCAAATTGTGATATTTTTGGGAATCACAAATTGGTCACTAAACCTGTGTTGAAGAATTTTTATGATTACGGTTGTTTTTATGGAAAGCCTTTTCGAAATTTCGATAATACAGTAAAACCTGTCAATAACGGAACCTGGAAATAGTGGAATTCTTGTCAATAGTGGAAAAAAAATTCCGCCATTGAGATCTCCATACAAAATGACCTGTTAATAACGGAAAACGGCAAAAAACGCTCACCCCCAATAGTGGAAAAAAATTGGGAAAAATTCTTTTGATTTGCTAGGGTTTTTGGAACGCGAGAGAAATTCTTTCGATTTGCTAGGGATTTTAGAACTGTATTTTGGAAGTCAATTTTTTCCGATTGGAATACCCTTTTTGCTAGAATTTCCCATGCGAAAAATTCTTTTGATTTCTAGGATTTTCTTCTAAAATCATCCCCTGAAAAATTTTGCTAGCTATATAATGATGAAAATATATGAATTTCTGCTTTTTTTCACATTTTCCCTCAATAATGGAAAATCATTTCTGAATTGGCATGAAAACCTGTTATTAATGGAACCTGGGAATAGTGGAATTCTTGTCAATAGTGGAAAAAAAAAATTCCCCGTGGGATTCCGTTATTGACAGGTTTTACTGTAATTTTTTTTTGCGCAATTTTCACTTTTTTGTTCAAAAAATGTCCGCCAGATGTCGTATAGAAATTTTCAAAATATTTTTGGAAATCACAAATTAATCACTAAAATACTGCATCATTAGTTTTTTGAAAATTAATTTTATTTCGAATTTTTCAAAATTTCATTTATAGACTTTTTGATGAATAGGCTTTTTCAAATTTAGACCTGTAACTTTTTTTCTGGAGCGCCACAAATTCTAAAAATTGCGTCACAAATTTCCATTGATTAATCACTAAAATTATGTGAAGTTTGATCCCAATTGGGTACTTTGACCCCCTGGGTAGTGTGCGCCAGAAAACTGCGTATACTACACACAAAATTGTAAACAAAATGAAATCAGTAGATGATCTATCATAAGGAGGATCTCAAATTATTGAATTTTACTAATCTATAATGACCAAAAATGGGAATAGATGCAAGTATCAAGTGTTAAATACAGAGTACACTGAATATAAAGCTCACAATGGCCAGATTGATGCCTCCCTTTTTAGTGAAATGGAAAAAAGAAACGACATTTGACTTTATCTCTCCCACTTTTTTTACTTTATCTGGTGTGTTGTAGCATTCCTGAATGCCAATTATGCAAAGATAAAAGTTGAATATGAGAGCCTGAAACCCAAAACAAATTATAAAAATTCTTTTCGGAAAAAGAGCATAAGAAATTATTGAACACAAAACGAGAATATAGAGAACTGAGAGTTAAAACAACACATAGAATACTGAGAGCAAAAGTAGCATATATCGATTTGCTGTTTTTACTCTCAATTCTGTATATTGTATTTTAAGTCTCAGTTTTTATTCGCCTCATTTTAGCACTGAAAATGTATATCTTTTTATTTGGAACCGATAATTATTATATTTGCTTTCGTCAAAAACATGAGACGAATAAAAACTCAGAGTCAAAATATAACATATCGCTTGTTTGTATTGTCGCTAACTGAATTTATATTCTATTTTAATTCTCAGTTCAGTATATGCTCTTTTAACTCTCAGTTTTTTTCTATCGCCTTTTTCATTTATAATACATTTTTATGCTTTTTTTTCCGAAAAGAATTTTTATAACTTGTTTTGGGTTTCAGGCTCTCATATACATTGTCCATTCTGTGTTGTTGTTCAATGGCTCTGTTCTCATAGCGATAGTTTTTAAATAGCCCTGCTTCTGATCAATGAAACACATGTTTCAGTTTTTGATTAAAATGCGTATTGAAATGATGCTTTTTGCTCTCTTTCTATTCGTTACAGGTTCAGTAAGCTGCAAAATAGGATTTAAATTGAATGGTATTCAACAATGTGAATCTCAGCAAAAATCGGAAAATAGCTCAATATCAATGTCATTTGTCCATAATTTGCAATTCACATTAATCTATATAGATCAACGCTGTGTATAGAAACATTTTATTTATCTTTTCAATCGTTTTTTAGTGCATTGATTGTGAGAGTGTTATACAATAGATGTAAATGAAGGAAAGTGCTTGAATGGACTGAATCCAATGTGCGGCACAATCCATTTATAACGATTACTATTGTTTCTGAAAATGGAAAGTGAAAAACAACATACATAAACATAACATACCATACCATTTTGAGTGAGGAACAAAAAAAAACTGAAAAAAATACAACGACCGCGTGCTACGAATTCGATTCAGAAAAGACACGAGACACAAAGTGAAATCGCTTTTGAAGCGAACAGGCAAGGGACGAGACAAAAAAACTGAGCTTCACGTAATTGAACCCATGAGTGTACAGACATAAAACGATTCGCAGTGGATGTATTTTCTGAATCCATTTTCGACGGTAAGTATAGTGTGTAAAATGAATGAAAACTGATTTTAGAAATGGCGAATACCCGCGCATTATTTAAGTATATATTGTTGTCAGTTCTTTTTTGTGTAGCGCCAAAAATGAGAGTTGGAGCGCACGCACACAGACATACTGTCTAGCATACTGTCCTTTTGCGACAAACGCACGTACGTTAACCGAATTGAATTGCGTTAGAAAATCTCATTTGGTGAATGGATAAAATTGAGTTGCCATTGAAACTGGCTAGAACAAACGAAACTTAATGATTTTTTAAAGCAGAAGCCACACCACACTCCGTTTCGTACGCTCGGTCAATTTTCTATAGCTTTGCGTTTAATGAATTGAATGTGCGATCCATTTGTCGCTTTTAATTCAAAAGCCTTAAACAATTGACTTCTCTCTACTCACCCTTTAATCGTGTATCGATCGACCGCGCGAAAAATATCTCTCACGTCAACTAGCAAACAATAGACAAACTGCACTTGCATTTCCACTTAACAATCGTTAAACACGAATGTGCGCACAACGACACGATTACCAATAAATGTAACTTGTAATGGCTTTATTTTGACCTGATAGCAAAAATAAAAAACACTTACAATTCATTGCATCTTTCCCAAGCCTTCATTTTCACTATTATCAAAATCACGAAATTAAATCATTGCGCAAGCACCCGTGTATTGACGTACCCGTACAATGAATATTGTCGGAAATGTGCTTTTATCTAGGAGGAGATAAACGAATATTTGGATTTACTACACAGAAACAAGTATTGGAGTACGCTTACTTGCACTTGCGGTGTTAGTAGAGGCTTTACCCCTCAAAATGAGTTACGCACTCTATTTAACTCTATTTTTGGTGTTAGTTCGAAGTAAACGCATCACAGTGAAAAAAGAGATACATGTGTAGTACATATGTACGTTGCCACATGCGTTCAACGAGTTATATTTCGTTGCGTGCATATGAGTCTGTGTATACGCTAACGAATATGATTGCTAAGTGTATCGTCACATACGTTCGATGAAACTTACACCAAAAATAGAGTAAAATAGAGTGCGTAACTCATTTTGAGGGGTAAAGTCTCTACTAACACCGCAAGTGCGAGTAAGCGTACTCCAATACTTGTTTCTGTGTAGCAATGACAGGATGTGAAGACTTCAAGTCTCATTGAGCCGACGGTGGCGCCACCAATTTCAAAGGGGACGTCAATGTAATTTAACCACTCAAATCGAAACTAAACAGCGCGCCAATTTTAAAATTTGCTGTCATTTCCTTCCATTGCTGTGTAGTAGATATTCAAGACATGCAAATTTATTTGCTAGTGCACAATATTGGCCCATAAACATTTTACAATAAAATTTACCGGTGTCATTGTATTTGTTAAAAATATTGTAATTAATTATTTTCTAGATGACAACGTTTGCTGTAAAGTTGGCTCTAATGTCAATGCAAGACAGAAGTTTGTTGACAAAATATCTCTGATTTTGTATGCTTATCAGAAAAAACTAGCCTATTTTCCCCCTAGATTGCACGTATCTCTACAGTGAGTCAATATCAAATTCGATGTAACACTCATCAAACCCATTCTCAATTTTTCGTTTCCAATTTAATCTTTCCATCGAAATGAAATGGATATGTTTTTCTAAATGCACTATACCGTAGTATATCGTCCATTCAAACAAATTCAAACATTGTGTCATCATAAAAATTTACGAACGATTTCTAAAACAAAACGCAACGCTTTAATAATGCGAATTGATTCGATTGTATTTTAAGAGGAAAAACAAACATCGAATTGAAATCGCACCGCATTCGATTTTCAAACAATTGCTTTCAAATGTGCACTGCGTGTAAAATAATTTTACTGACACTGGAGCCGGGTGGTTGGCCATAGCTGTCGGTATTTTGCCATTTCCAAATTGAAATATGATTCGTGCGAATACCGTTTTCATATTATATAGTACAAGATATGTATGACATTATTGTCATTTACAGAATAAAACTTACTCGTTTTATTTACCAAATCGAATTCTCATCGGCGTTGAATTTCAATCGTTTTCTACCTGGCTCAGGTCTCATGTGATTAAATATAAACTGGTTATGTGCGAGCCAACAACGTAGTCAGTATTTGAATTGTGAATTTGATGAGACCGCAGAGTATAAATTTTTCAGAAGCCACCAGCATCGAAAAGTGTTCATTTTGAAGCCACATACATACACACCCTTCGTTTTTGTTGCATACCCAACACATAAGTAAACCAGAGAAAATCATTTGATGAATAAACGCACACACATATACATTGTATATATTATACATAAACCAGATAGCTGATTTTTCATTTTCACTGTTCAAATTAATCCCTAGTCGTGGCTGACCGATGTACAGAGTGAAAAACACCGATACAATTGACGTGCACATTTAGTCGAACAATGGACATAAATTGATGCTATATTTTGGGGGTAGAAATGTTTCCCTTGTTGAAATATGCACAAAGTATTAAGTTTTTTTAGTGTTTTACTCTAGGTTTTACTCGTATATGAAGAAAAACAGAATTAATTTACCTGATAAATAGACCTGGTCAACCATTTCAAGTATTTCTATTTAGAAATCACGACCGTGGATTAAACTTCACCAACGTAAAAAATATATGAGAATTTCTACGTTGCCTCGATAGTAAAGTTGAAAAAACTAAACTTTATTTCTGAAATTTCGTTTTATTTTTTAATTCAATTTTGTATTCATTTTTCAAACAGGTCTTCAACCTCAGTTTAATGGAACCGTATAACATCGTGTCAGATCAATTGATTCAAATCTTGACAGACTATAAAAAGTATTGGAAATGTGTTTTTTGATTATTAAAGTGATTGACAATTTTGTGAAAAAACATAAAGTTCAGCATACGAAACGTTAGTTTTATTTTCGTTTATTCCTTTGTTTGTTCGTTTGGTGCTTAATTTATCATGAACAATAAGCAAAATAGTATCGGTGGTGTAAAAAGCATGAATCGAGATTCCACGAGTCCACCACCATCAACGCTGTGCTTTTCGACGCACCGAAAGAGCAACAATGTCATAGCCACTGATAAGAAATATCATGGCAATCATCATCAGTACGACAAACCATACCAAAATATCGGTCTATGTGGCTGTCGTCGAACCTCCAAATCACGCTGTGTATCAGCAATCGGTAAGTAGATGTTTTCGTGGTATAATTCGGAATTTATAACCATCGAATGCTACTCGGATTAAAGACATTTTATATCATTTGTTACTTGCTCGCAATTCCATGGACGCACAGTATCATGGACATAAACGATTTTGGCATCGAAAACATTTAACGCCTTGTTAATTATATCATCTATGTAGAACATAAACCAAATGATGCCAATAAATTCCTTAATGACAATCTCACATGAAGTTTTCGTTCGGTTTTCGAAACCAGACTCAATACACATACACAACTCGTTAATGATGATTTTATCATCTCAACGATACACATGCACATTCTTTGTGCCTGTTCGAGATCGTTCGCGCGGTTGAGCTAACGAACTCAACTAACGACTTCAAAACGAAATGAACCAAGTTTTCAACGAACGAAAATGGACTCAAAATTTTTAATCGGTAACGAACCGAAGGAATCTGTTAAAAATTAAACAAACCAAAAATGAAAACGAATATGTTGATTACATATCGAAACTAACTAGGATTTGGTGGTTCATTGACACCTTTAGTATCTGCTTATATGTCACGAACAATTTTGTTGAAAACTTGGAAAAGATAACATGAACGTATTGATTAACTAATGTTAGTCGTATCGTAAGAGAATAAATGCAGAATGCTGAAGTAACATTGCAAGCGAATATTCATTGATTTTACTTTGATTTTCATGAAAGTTATATAAATTGATTTTGTTTCAATTCGAAACCAATATCCATTTACATTAATTGACAATATTTCATTTTTGAAAAAAAAAACACATCACATATTCGAACATTGAATGAAAGTAAATTGCCATAGAAACGCTATCATTTTATGATACTTTTATCGGAGTTTTATGTACATTTCCAATCGAAACACCCTGAACTAACTAGTAACCTATTCGGAGGAAAGTGATACACATTATTTTTTTCAATTTTGGTGACATCGAATTAGGGGTTGAAGGGGGCTGAAAATTCGGTTACGCATCTAAAAACGTGAAAATGTTCTTATTTTTTCTTCTTCACGCACTATCTGATCGGTTTCATTTCCAAATTCGACATTCCTTCGAATAGGTTTACTAGTGAGTATCATCAAAAGTGATTTTTTCCTATATGTGTAATGACGTAAAATTTTAAAATTGTGGCAAAATTTACAATTGCTGCTTACAATGTATGTCCTATTTGCTGATTATACTCGAGTTTTCTAATGCCCGAATGCATTGTATTGATTTTCATGCTTATTTGATTTGGACATTTCCATTGTGGATTTGCGCTATTGAAAATGTTCAATATTTTTCATAAAATCTCTCAACATGTGGAACGTTTATATCAATTTAAGCTAACTGAGTACTCGACAAACGAATGAATACGTTTTGAGTGTGCAAAATACGTAGGGAAAACAAAGAAAATGATGTATTTATTACCAGAAATATTTCTGATTTTGATTTATGGCCACTAATAAATCGTGTATTTATGCTCTTCTGCCAACCTAGAGCAAATCGTTCATCATTTTAAATCGAGAATGAGTTTTTCAATGTGTGAATCCATTGATTGGAGTGCGCTTGTGCATGTGCCCATGTCATTGTATAGTTAAATTGCTATTTTTCTCTTTCAATCTCTCGGCCTTTCTTACTTCAACCCATATAAAAACAACCAAATGGCTAACGATTTGGAACGAAAACATTTCATTTTATTAGGTATTCGTTTTAACTCCTTTTCATTATTTATGTTCAGTGAGTTGGGTTTCCACTTGAAATGGAGCCGTGTGCATTGTTCCATAGATTATGCTGAACGATTTATTTGAAAGCATTGTTGCAATTGTTACTTGTAACCGTTACTTTGGCAAAATGATGCATTTGAACTGGTACCGCTGATTGTGTGTTTGCATGATGGTTGTTACTTTCTCCGACAGTGAACGGATATTTGAAAAAATTTCGCTTACGCACAAAAAAGCTCATGTGTATTTACACCCTCCAATCCAAAAGTTCCGAGCCTTTTTAAAAATAAATAAAATGTCTTACATCCGTAAGATGAGCTTTTCCGCACTGTGATCCACGACATGAAAGAAAACTAAATCTGACATTAGTTTTAGATAAAAATAATTTTCGAAGCACTTTTCTTACAAAAACTACTAAAGATGGGAGTTTTTGTATCGGAGCCATGCCTATACGATATCGTAATCATGTGAAAATTTGCAGAGGTTATTTTTTTCACAAAAAGTTAACATTCTGAAAGTTTGAAGAAATTTCAATGCATATTAAGGGTACTTCCCATACAAAATTTCGTTTTAGAGCGAAAAATCCAAAATATTGTTCGGGGGGTGCCCCTAATATTCGTTGAAATGTCTTCAAACTCTCGGAATAGTATTTATGTGTGATAAAAATAACCAGTGCAAAGTTTCAGCTCATTACGATATCATACAGGCATGGCTTCCATACAAAAATCCAAATTTTTTGAATTTTTTGTATGAAAAGTGTTTCGAAAGTTGATTGTATCGCAAAACTAAGGTCATATTCGGTTTTCTCGTACCCATAAACCCCCCAATACACATTTTTGAGTGTTTAAGAATACATTAAATATCACTTTTGGAAGAAAATTTGAATTTTTCCCATGGATGGACATGGGCATCACACCAGACATGACACTTTACCCTGTCAACCAAAGTCGCTCAAAATCTAATGGTTTCTATTCCTCGGCACCCCCAATCATCCTGTGAAGTCAAATTTTGAATTACTTTTCTTGTTTGAAAGTTATCGTGTTAACAAATTTTTGCGTACAGGGTACAGCGTACAGGGTACAGGGTACAGGGTACAGGGTACAGGGTACGCACATACATTCGGACATCGAAAAAACGCTAGATTCGTGTTCCCTGGCCCCAAAAACACCCAGAAAACACATTTTTTATGGGTGTTAATTTTTCGACCGATTCCAATACTTTACCTTACACACTAGGTGTGTGCGGAAAAGTAAAACAATAAATGGCGTCATCTATTGAATATATTATGTTTTACAAACGAGCTGTCCTCATTGACAAATTGTAAAATTTTCGCGAAGATTGGATGTACACATGTCAAGATATTGCGTCATATTTATTAGTATGTTTTGATCTCGGTGACAAAATGAATTTCAAACAAAGAGCTGCTATTGAGTTCTGTGTTAAGCTTGGTAAAACTTTTACAAAAACGCACCAAATGCTCCAACAAGCATATGGTCATGATTATCTATCCCGCGCGCGAGTTTACGAGTGGTTTAAACGATTTAAATCGGGTATAGAAACGCTTAATGATGACGAAAGGTCAGGTCGTCCAAAAAGTGGATTATCGACAAAACACATAAAAAAAGTGCGCGAATTCATAAAAAATAATAAGAAATGTTCATTGAAATTTATTGAAATGGAATTGGAGATTCCCGCAACTACTGTTTTTCGCATTTTGACCGAAGAATTGGGACTTCGTAGAGTGAATTCACGATTTGTGCCACACAATCTCACCGATGATCAAAAAATGGATCGAATTGAACATTGCAAACTGCAAAGACATCATTGAAAGTGCTCGTATGGACCCAAACTTCTTGAAAACGATCGTTACTGGTGACGAGACGTGGTGTTTTGAATATGAGCTCAAGACAAAGCGTCAAAGTGCAGAATGGAGGCGACCAGAAGAAGGTCAGCCCACAAAAAGTCGATTGGAGAAGTTAAAATTGAAGACAATGCTCATTTGTTTTTACGATTCCAAGGGTATTATTCAAAAAGAATTTGTTCCATCTGGTCAAACAGTAACGGGCAAGTACTATCGTGACGTTTTGGATCGTATGATCAAAAGATTTTATCGCATTCGACCTGAATATCGCGAACCAGACAGCTGGTCACTTTTGCACGATAATGCTCCGTCTCATCGTTCACGAGTTGTGAGTGAATTTTTGTCGAAAAAACAAGTTGTTTCGTTGCACTACTCGCCGTATTCGCCTGATCTCGCACCCTGCGACTATTTTCTATTCCCAAAACTACATTTGAAGATGAAAGGAAAGCGAAATTATTCAATTGAACGCATACAAAAGGCTGTAACCGAGGTGCTTAGGAAGGTTCCAACAAATGCCATTTCTGATTCATTTGACAATTTGATTAAACGTGCAAATAAGTGTATCGAAGCGAATGGAGAGTATATTGATTAATAAAAAGAATTTATCTCAAAATGTACACTAGTTTTTAAAAAGTCTCGGAACTTTTGGATTGGAGGGTGTACGTCGTAAAACAGTTTGTCGATTATTTTCATTTATTTGTTGGGGATCAAATGCTCTGTTTGTTTTTGTATCGTTACAGAAAAATAAAACAAGAACACACTTCTTTTCTTCTTTTTTTGTTCATTCTTTCGCTCGCTTTTATTACAATCATTAGGCTGATGGCGAATTAATTTTCCGTTGGCTTTAGGCTTTTATTTCGGCTTAACGAATGAAAACAAAGTAATACAAAAAACCATTTTGTATTCGCACACTTCAGTTGAAGAAAACTTGCTATTCTTTCATTTCCACGTGGAAACCTACCTAACGACATCATATCACAAAAACGAAGTAAAACATTAAAGGTTATAGCGTACAGATTTTTTTCTTTATAGATAAATCTATTTATAGCGCAGACTTGCTCTATATAGGTAATAGAGTCAAGAAAATACAAAAAGCCAATTTTGCAAATACAGTCACTTTCACAAAAAGGTGCCGATATTTTCCCCATATAAATTCTACTAAGCCATGACAACTTGCTCATGACTGTAATAACCGCAACAAATGGAAATTATATTTCTGTGTGTTTGAGAGAAAATAAATAAATGATATTGCGAGTGTTAGTTATTGACATCTGGGGCATTTCTAATGTGTTACTTGCCTCTGAAAATATTTATTTGCTCATCAAAACCCGTGTTCAAGGCGTTAATTTTACCATATATAAAATTCCGAACAACCCGGATTTTGTGTACAACCCGAACGTAAATCATACACACAAAAATACGCGTACGATAGACCAAGTAGCCAAGAGCAATCGAAAGCCACACCTTGTGAACAACAAACACACATCAATTTCGCTTCACTATATGAAAAAATATATAGAAAAACTTAAGCTTTGGCAACCCATCCAAATGGCATCAGGATCAGTAAAGACAAATGTGGAAATGTATGAATTTCACAGTTCGATGAACATAAAACACTTGGTTTATATCATTTGCTGTTAATATAATGCCATCAAGTGGAAATTTAATCTGTTGACTTCGTTCTCATTTTCATTCTTCGTTTAATTTTCTCATCATCATCATCATCACTGTTTTTACTCGATTCACTTCGCATCGGATCGGTACTGCATATTTCAATATTTCTAGCTTGCTTTCTATCAAAAAAAGTGCTGTGTACTTTTGCATTTTTTCCGCAGTGTGTTCAATGAACTAGAGTCCCAATCCATGTTTAAAATTATCAACACTCTTCTGTTTATTGTTTTTTTTTTCAGTTCAAACATTTACATTCTGCTCTAACCATTGCACGTACTATATGCACGGACGCATGTATGAAAGAAACTACACTTCTCAATTCTTTTTTGTTGAATCCGTTTAGCTTTGACAACAATTCACAAAGAATATTGTTCACACTTTCTCACTCTTCTATCCCAATGCAAATTACGCTTTCATTTATTACGGGCACTATGTTTGATGTTTGAATAGCATTCATATTCTCGTTTTACAATACCGAATGAAACTGGTATATATATACACGATAGCAATTGAATAGAACGTATTCAGCTCATACACACAGGAGCGCTTTTGAAGCAGCAATAAAGATGCGTGTTAGCATTTTAAAGGAAATTTTCCCGTGTGTATTCAGTTCAAAGGAATTCAATTTGTCAATTGCATTTCAAAGCACACTGAATTAGCATTGAATTAAATGAATAGCAAGTTAGCTGAGCCATTTTTTATTTTTGCTTCCATTTGCATTTAGTTTTTGATAGAAGGAATTCAAAAATTTATTTACAAAAACCATTTGCTGAATATTTTTTATAAATGCTAATATCGAGGCTAATATCCATTGGCCATACCATGAATTTCAATTATCACTGGAAACCAATATAATCGCGGTTTGCCGCAATGCAAAAAGCCAATCGAATACAAAGAGATCAAATTGAAAATGGTCTCATTCATCGGAAATTATTATTTGCTATTAATATTATAATATTGATATTAATCGCAAATGATGCTTATTTTTCATTTTAATTTAAAATGTTTCATTTTGTTTTTCAGGCGTATTGATATTGTTACTCACATACACAACAATGGGTTCAATTCTTTTTATGACGCTCGAAGGAGAGGAAGATATGGGAAAAACAGTCGAAACCGCTGTTGCAGCTTCAAAACCCAGAACCGATCTAGTAAACGCTGATATACGTTCCAGGTGAGGGGTCACAAGTTCATAATTTTTCGATATTTAAATTGTATGGATGAAGTCTGATGAAATATGAAGTAAATTTTTACAAATTCGTTAGATAAAAGTACATGTTTATGTTTGATTGTCAAACGCCATGTATTTAGCTAATTTGAATTTTTCCGACATGAAATTTTTGGAAACTATAATGAATAGCTTAAGAACGAAAAACTCAAGTTTGATAAGACATTTATAGAATGGATTTGTTCGACTGTGACTACAATATCTCTTCAAATGATTTATGTTGCTGTCCGCCTCTGGAGAAGAATTAATGTGTTCATTGAATTCACGACGGAATTTTCTTGATCCTGAGCAGGATAAAGCTGTTTGGTAGAAATTTGTCGAAAAAAGAAAACACAGTGCAAAAAAAGATTGATTTTGTATGTTCTCAAACAAGCGGACAATATAAATCGCTCTAACGCAATCAGCTTTTCTTAGTATATGGCCGAAGTGGAAGAAATGAGTTTTGTTGCCATTGGTTCTTTATTTCGATGTGAAAAATAAGATTCTCATTTGAGTCCTTTCCATCTAAATAGGTTTTTTTCTCACAAAAATGATAATAATCTTTCTCTTTCCGTTTGGTTTGTTATTTTTTTGTTCTTATTCTGTCTATTCTTCATGGTGAGTTATGTTTCAGCAAATGAGATATTTTATTATTGCTATCGTAATTTTTCGACATTTTCATTGCATTCTGTCACATGTTTTATTTTGATATGGTTTTTTTCTGTTTTCTTTTCACAACAAAGAGTTAGTGCTTGGTGGTATACATGATTTTTGCAAGCTCAAGTTGGAAGAATTAGTTGCAGCTGCAACTTTAAAGATATGTTTCCATCGACGACGCCACTGTCTCCACAAAAACCTGAATAAGAGGATCGCCAAATACCACAGAATTTCTGAGTGAGTGTGCAGTGTGCAAAACTTTTGGTATAGCATTCGCGAGATAAAACATGTCAGTGGGGTCGGCATTTTCATCGTAAATTTTGATGTGCATTCCGCTTGGTAAATTATTTCGCGCACAAACCTTTCATTGTTAGTAGTTGAATTGGTGTGCATTTACAATGCACACGACGAAGTGTAATAAAAATCCATGGAACACCATCTAAGACGCCATTTCTTCAACAATACTCTTTTTTTGGCGGAGAATATGGAGTAAAATGCAATGAAGGCAAATGCTCTAATTTTTTTTCAACCAACCATTGTGCATTTGCAAGTGGCGCATCCACTG